GGGGGGGGGGTGAGGGACAATGTCTTATCCCCTTTTCTGGCCTGATTTACAAAAAAACACCCAAAGCCCCACCCCCCCTCCTGTCCTAGAACAGCAACTCCTGCAGAGGAGCGGCAGGGCGCCTCCCTTCAAATCCCAACGCACCCCAGGTGGAAGAGAGACACACACACACACACCGCAGGCTCTGCGGAAGGGAAGGTGGCCGAGAGTCAAGGAAGCCCAGCCGAGCTCATTTCAGCTTTTCAGAGATTTGGACATTNTAACAAGGCCCACAAGCCATCAGCGGCTGGGGCGGGTTCCTTTCTTCAAGCAGGGAGCCATGGCCGGCCCCTCCCAGCCTTTATGGCTCAAAAGCGAACAGACATAGGGTGGAAATAGAGGAACCGAAAAGCGATATTTGCGTCTGCTGCCTCCGAAACCCAGAAGCCCGTTAAGCAATGCATGCCGTTTCAAAGGCCATTTCCTGTCCCTCCAAGCCATCAGCGGCTGGGGCGGGTTCCTTTCTTCAAGCAGGGAGCCATGGCCGGCCCCTCCCAGCCTTTATGGCTCAAAAGCGAACAGACATAGGGTGGAAATAGAGGAACCGAAAAGCGATATTTGCGTCTGCTGCCTCCGAAACCCAGAAGCCCGTTAAGCAATGCATGCCGTTTCAAAGGCCATTTCCTGTCCCTCTGGAGGGACTGAGAAGAGCAGGTGCATCCAAAAATAATAATAACGATAATCAAAAAAATAAAAATTCCCACATGCCAGGGGCTTTTCAATGAGTTCCCCCTTCTGTGAACACCCATCGGGGCCCCAAGGTGGAGGAGGACCTCAGGGTGCTGCTAAAGATGCCCAAAGGAGGTGGTTTCTCTCCCCCCCCCCAATTACACACTTCTTTGCAGCCCAAAGGCTGCCATCTGGTGCTGCCCTGAGAGGCTATCTGCCTGCCCCCAAGCCAGCCTGAGTTCGGACTGGCCTCCAAGGACACGCGGTGGGAAAAGGGCTCGGCCGTGTGGTGGGGCTCCCTTTTGGGTCCCCCCCCTTCCTCCAGAAACTCAGAGGCAGGGACTCCATCAGCCTGCTTCTTCCAGCGGGGCCCCCCAAAAGTCAGCCTCAGTTCTCGCCCATTCGTCCAGCATGCTTCCTGTCCCTTCGGCTGCCTGCCTGCCTGCCTGCCTTTGGGGACACGTCTCTCCTTCGTTAGCGTGAAAAATGAGTTCCTTGCTTGATCTCCGTTTAGCCCTCTTGCCTGAGTTGTAGTTGTTGGTGAACTCCCTGGGAAAATCGTTGGGTATTTTGCTTTCTTGACATTTTTCTAAACTGTTGCTTACACGGTTTCATCACAGAAAAAGGGGGCACAGAAATAAAAGCACAAAAGTGGCAGATTATAAATTAATGTTAACCCTGCCTTTCTGCCTCAAAGGAGCTCGAGGCGGTATTCTGTCCTCCTAACAGCCCTGTAAGGCAGACCAGGCGGTGTCGCTACGATTCCCACCATGCATCTCCAGTGGCTGATGGGGTTGGGAGTCCTCTCACATCTGGGAGGGCCCCCACTGGCTGTGGCCAAAATGACCCCCCCACAGGGCACATGCTCTAACAGGGCAACCTCCTCCCTCCTTAAGAAACAGCCACGTGCGTGCTGTGGCCCTTGCAACCCATTCCCCCCGTCTACATGGCCACCCACGCTTCGGCATCCCCCCCCCGATCCCCAACCCCCATTGGGGCACATGGATCTCACCTCGGCCATCACGACAGAGACAGGAAGCCCAGCTGTGGGGGGGGGGCAAGCGGAGGAATAAAAGATCCCAAGACAGATGCACACCCCCACCCCCAAGAAAGAGGACAAAGCAGCGTCCACGCTGGCTAACAAAGTCCACGCTGGCTAACAAAGCCGGAGGTGGG